TTTGGACACAGCACGCGAGTGTCCAACAGTCCGGGGGGCACGCGCTGTTACGACTCCTGTCGACTACGGCGCTCCCCCTCCCGCGACCGACGCCGCAGCAGCCAAAGCAATGATCACGACCCGAGCCCTTGTGATCGGCCTCCCGGCTGTCTTCGACCTCAAGTTGACGTCTGTCGTCCACGATCCTTCGCTCTCGCTGCAGTCCCTGGCAGAAAGACTCAGACGCCGAAAGGCTTGCAATGGAACTTTGCAGCCACAGAGATTCACTACTTCCCTGTTCAGACCAAAATGCGTCGACACCGTACTTCCCCTAACCAGGGATATGTGGTCCACGTTCCTGATGTTCTTCCGGACCACTGGCTGCAGACCTCCGCGGATGCGCTCCAGGAGGCAATCGAGAACGCCATCCGTTTGACCGAGCGCCTGGACGACGACCTCGACACCTGCATGCCGCTTGTCCCAGCCGGGGCAGTGCAGCAGGGAACTGCAGCAGGGCTAGTGCAGCAGGGAACTGCAGCAGGGACCATGCAGCAGGAAATTGCAGCAAAGTCCTCCGCGGTTCTCGCACGGTCTTGGGTCTTGGATAGTGGTTCTGCGCACCACATCACGGACAAGGACGATTTGACTCAAGCTGAAACATGTGGTATTCGTCGTGGACATGAATACGTATTGGAAACAGCAAACGGCGATCGAGTTGTTAATGAGCACATCAATATTTCTGTGCCTTCCATTAACTTGCACACAAGTTCTTTGGCTCTCAAAGGTTGTCCGTCTGTTATTTCCATGGGTCGTCTCGTCGAGGATGAGGATTGGACCATCCATTGGAGCAGAAAAGATGGGCGTGTTCTCTCACCACCTGATGGTGGACCATCACGGAAGGCCCCTGTTCGCGACTACATACCACACGTTGACGCCGATAACATGGAGTTAGTGTTTCCGCCTCCACCGAATCCGGGGGGGCACTGTCCGTGCTGCGGCGCCACGAAGGACCAGCCACGGCAAGGGGATGACTCAGCTCCGGCTCAAAAGCCGCATGCTTCTGTTACGTCTTCAAGGACACGCCCGGCTGCTGCTCCATCAGAGCATCTGGACACCAGAGCGCCCAGAGGATCTGGACACAGGAAGAGAAACCCACCTCCCCTGCCCCCGCGGCGCGGAACACGGGACTCTCCAGGAACGACCCGGCACGGAAAATCTCCCCGCTCCCAGGACTCTCCGGATCCGATTCGGCTGAAGAAATCCCGAAGCAGGAGCCCGCTGGCTCTGGCTAAGCCGTTGTTCTTTCGACAGACGGTCAAAATCAAGACCCCGGCTCTTAGTTCGGACCCCCCTGTGCTGAAGAGGCAGACGCCTCCCTCGCGTTCAGGTTGTTTTTGTGTCCTCCCTCGACAGCAGGTAGCCGCGAGCTCAGCCACCGCCGACCAGCCCGATCAGCCGGTCGATTGGGACCCCGATCGCCGATCGGACGCGGATCGATCGCTGGATCCTGGCCCCGGCTTCCATTCGCCCACTCTCGGTCCGGAGACCAGAGACGCCGTCGCTCTCCCGAGCGCCGATCGTGCGTGGTCTGACTACATAACAGATGTCATAAGGGGTGCTGCCCATCTGGACGCCGAAATTGCAGCGGGCAACCGCAGCGAGTACGGCGCTGCGAAGGGCACGTCGAAAGGGGGAGCGGAGGCCGACCCTGCCCCTCCTACACACCACAACTCCCCTTACGGTACATCATGTGGCGCGTCCTCGAGCCATGGTTCCGCCTCCTATGGCGCCCCCATGGCGTGCCGCTGGTTCTGCCGCCGCTGATTACGCAGGCTCGGCAGTTGTACCTCATGGACATCAGAGCATACCAGCACCACATCATGATGGACGATGACATCTGCATACAATTTTGATGGCTTCCAAATTTCTTCTGACTTTTGACGTGCCTCTCACATCTTGGTCGATATCAAAACCATACTTGTCACCATGGACAGGCCCAGCTGTATATGAAAAGGTACCGCAACCAGCCTACTCACCATTTCTTGCAGCCGACGCCGAGAATTTGGTTGGAGCGATGGCATAAGTTTTGTGCGTTATCTCTGGGACGTTAGCTTCGCGATAGTAGAGCAGGTGACAACCTTATTATCGATTGCAGTCTTGACAAAACGGCCTAAAGAGCCACAAAGATGATTGTCTAGCATGTACTGTTGAAAATGCACAATTGCAAAAACATGTGAAAAAGCATAATTGCATAAATACACTTGATTCTTCATTACTGGTGCAAGACGTACAAGATTTTCTTGGAACTTGCGCATGCACTCTACTCCTCATATCTCAATGTTTTGCGTTTTGCTTTGGATTGGATCTGGCTCATTGCACACATCGTTGCATTCATGTCATGTGTTGCTTCGGGCACCGACCGTTTGGGTCGGTGTCATAAGAGCTCAGTCTCTCCATTCCACTTCTCTCCAGCCCACAGCACTGTCCTGGGTTCTATCTCGGCGGCAGGCGCTGTAAAACTTTGTTTGCGGGTTAGCGCCGCCGTTGGGTGCGAACCTTACGACAGAGTTTTGGCTGTCCCTTCTTTCCTTCCTGGGCTGAAGCAGTGGATTGCAGACAGGAGTTCAGTAGTGATTCACTCTCCTATCCCGATCCCCGCTTCGGTGCCTTTCGCCTTTGTGCGTGGGCATCGGGCGGGATCGGGACGGGGGGTGTGTGTGAATCCCCCTACTTTCCTCCTATCTTGCTCATATCCATCGCCCCTTTCGGCTCGGATGCAGGTACTCGTACACAGAGGGTGAAGAGGACAACTTCCATCATCCTCATCACGTCTACCTACGGACACTTTGGGGGTGGGTTCGGTCCTTCGGTCCCCCTCCCCCTCACACACAGCCTGCATCAGCCTCAGCCTCAGTCTGCCTTCAGCCTCGGCCTCAGCCTCAGCCTGCCTCAGCCTGCCTCAGCCTCAGCCTCAGCTTCAGCCTGCCTGAGCATCAGCCGGCTTCAGCGTCTGCCTCAGCCTGCCTCAGCGTCAGCCTCAGCCTCAGCGCCTCAGCCTCCGGGCATCCAAAATGTGGCCCGGGAGTGAGTGGAGTTCTGGGAACTCGAAGACCACGAGGTGGCCTACAGTTGGCTCCGGGCACCCAAAATGTGGCCCGGGAATGGAGTTCTGGAAACTCGAAGACCACGAAGTGGCCTACAGTTGGCTCCGGGCATCCAAAATGTGGCCCGGGAATGGAGTTCTGGAAACTCGAAGAGCACGAAGTGGCCTACAGTTGGCTCCGGGCATCCAAAATGTGGCCCGGGAATGGAGTTCTGGGAAGTCGAAGAGCACGAAGTGGCCTACAGTTGGCTCCGGGCATCCAAAATGTACGCCGGGAATGGAGTTCTAGCAGCGCCAAGAGCGATTTTGCGAGGATGTCCCAGGCGATTTGGGCTTCGACGGCAGCCGCCCCGGGTCCCGCCCCGACCCCCCTGAGGAGTCATGATGCTCTCTTTTGACACCACTAGAAACCTATCAGTCTTCGCTGTTAGGTAATGATGGGAAGAGGGATAACAGGAAGAGGAAGAGGATAAGGGGATTGCCGTGGACCGGGGATGATGACGGCGATGACGCTGATGATGATGACGATGGCTATGACGACGACGCCGACGACGACCAACAATATGTTGATGATGCGGATGATTATGCTGAAAAATACGGTGAAGATGATGGCGATGGTGATCACGATGCTGATGAAAATGGTGATAAGGATGATGATTGTGATGGTGATTGTGGAGGTGACCATGACGATGACGGTGAAGATGACAGGGATGAGGATGACAATGATGACGATGATCATGACCCTAGCTAGAACTTGACCGCGCGCGAAGCGCGCGCGATGGTTATATCACATATGTGTATATGTATTTGTATATGTATGTGTATGTGTATATGTATATGTGTATGTATGCATGCATGTATGTATGTATGATTGCATGTATGTATGTACGTATGTGTGTAGGTATGTGTGTATGTATGTATGCATGTATGCGTGTATGTATGTGTGTACGTATGTATGTATGTGTATATGTATGTATGTATGGATGTATGGATGGATGGTACGTATATTATATGTATATGTGTGTTTGTATGTATGTATGTATGTATGTATGTATGTGTGTATGTGTGTATGTATGTATGTATGTATGTATGTATGTATGTATGTATGTATGTATGTGTGTATGTGTGTATGTGTGTATGTGTGTATGTGTGCATGTGTATGCGTGCATGTATGTATGTGCGTCTGTGTGTATGCATGTGTGTATGTATGTCTGTATGTCTGTATGTCTGTATGTCTGTATGTATGTATGTATGTCTGTATGTATGTATGTGTGTATGTGTGTATGTGTGTATGTGTATCTAAATATACAAATATCGCAGCGTAAAATCGAGCGTGGGGTGGCCTAGTGTGGGTGTGGCTCGCCAGCCGCCGCCGTTCAAGCTGGAACCACAGCCCGCCCCGACATTGCAGCGTGGAGCACGCTGCCTGCTGGCCCCCGCGGGGCTGCCGCCGACAAGGCGCCCCTTGGAATACGCCAGCGAGGTCCCCCCAGAGCACGCCCCGTGCCACGTGGCCGTCCTGTCACACCTGGAACGGCATGCCACAACTGGAACGGCATGGAGCTCCCCCTCGGCGGCCTTTGTCCACGCATACTGGCGGGCTCCGCTGGACAGACTCGCGTTGGCGCTGGCACACGTTCTCCAGAGCGCCCCTCCGACGTTGCCGCCGTGCCAACACGATGTGATCCCTGGAGCTCTGCCGCCCCCCCCCGGGTCCGCATCCGGGGCTGCGGCTCGCGGGCCGGAGGGATGGCGTGTCGAACAGGCTCGGGCTCCGAGAGCAAGCACGATGTTCGGTTGGCCCGGGCATTGGCGCCGCTTCAGGACAAGTCGCGACGCTGCACGATGACTGACGTCCCCCTCCCTCCACCAGAGGGGTGCTGCCGGCCCCCACCGCTGCCAGGCCGCCCCCACCCGCAGCCATTCCGACTCGGCGTGCGCCCCCGCGCGCGCGCAGCGATCGCAGGAGCCTGGCGCGCAGGATGAGAGAGGCGGAGGCCGGCGTGATCGAGGCCACCGACGAGCTTTGCTCCTCGCGGCGCAGGCAAGGGGTGTGGACGGCCAAGGGCAGAGGAGGAGCAGGTACCCATGCCGCTGCCGTTCCCTCGTTCTCCCTTTCTTGGGGCCTCCCGGGAGGCCCTCGTCGACAACGCTGGGTTGCTTCGAAACTCTGTTCGGAACGCACCCCGGGCGAGGTCCGGGGAGTAAGGGTATCGGCATTCGCTGGTTTCCCCACAAGGGGCGGGCGTTGCCTCGAGGAAGCAGAAGCATGGATCCAGGCGCGCGGATCAGCGAGGGGTCCCGTTTCCATGCAGAATCGGCGCGCTCCGCCACCGCTTCGGGCGGCGCGGAGGCCACTTCTCGTGGGCACCTTCCCCGATCCGTGGGCGGCTGGGCCTCCGGGAGGCGACGTGCTTCGGCCGACGCCGCCGACCTTCGGCCCTCGACCCTCGAGCGTCGAGCATCGCTGGGCGGGCCGGGGAAGCAAGACGCCGGAGGCTGAGACCCTTGCGAGCGCCGACGCGGTGGAGACGTGCCCCCTGCGAGCGCGCACCAGATCCACGCATCCCTAGTCCACGTTGCTGGGCGCCCGATTGCACGCCTTCGCAGGTGAGCCCCGTCGAAGGCATGGGCGGTCCCTGAGAGCCGGCGTCGCGAAAAAGACGCAATTGTTTGCGAAACATCGGGGTGCGTCTTCGAGCTGGATCGATCTCTGCAACGCCCAGATCTCAGGGTGTGGTGCTCCTACTGGGTTTGCGCACCAGGGGGGCGATCAATAGGGTGGGAGCGGGTGAAGAAAGGTGCACCGTCTGTGCGCCTCGGCTAGGAGTCCCAAGGGGGGCCCCTTTCGGGCCCAGAGGCGGCACGAGAGGTGCACGTCCCTTCGCCCCCCCGTGGAGCGCCCCCCAGTGGGCAACGCCCACCTCTCCTCCTCCTCCTCCTCCTCCTCCTCCTCCTCCTCCTCCTCCTCCTCCTCCTCCGCCTCCGCCTCCGCCTCCTCCTCCTCCTCCTCCCTCCTTCTCCTCCTCCTCCTCCTCCTCCTCCTCCTCCTCCTCCTCCTCCTCCTCCTCCTCCTCCTCCTCCTCCTCCTCCTCCTCCTCCTCCTCCTCCTCCTCCTCCTCCTCCTCCTCCTCCTCCTCCTCCTCCCCCCAATGGGCTGTCCGTCCCCGTTGCAGCTGCCGGTCCTACTGCTTCCAGGTCCTCCTGGCCCACCTGGGCGGCGCCCCGCCGCCGCCTCCGCCGGCCGCCGCGCAGGCCGCCGCAGGCGGGCGCGTGCCCGGCCTCTTCTCGGAGGGGGGTCCGGCCGAGCCAGCGGCGGCTCTCCCCAGCAGGATGAGGTTCCCAGACCCCCTCGCGTCGTGAAAAAAACACGACGTGAGGTTTTTCGTTATTTCGGCCTCCGGGGGCCTTTCCCGGGCCTCGGGACCGTCAAAAAACGACTCAAAATAAAAAGCCGGTTTAGGGTTTAGGGTCTAACAGGCTTGGCCACGATTACAACTTGCCCACCAACCCACCTGCGGTGGCCGTCAATCCCACCCGCAAGCCACCCCACCATAAAGATCATCTCTCCCCTCGTGAGAACCGCATCGAATACAGCGTCGACGACGAGGACAACGACGACGGCGACGACGGATGTGCGATCCAGTTGACACGCGAGTGCTGTAACGGGCGGGACGAGTCGGGTCGGGAGGAAGAAATTCTGCACGCATGCGCAGGAAACGCTAGTCGGTAGAATCGGTGGATCGGGTCGCAACGGAAGGCACTTTGTATTGTAAAATACAGGAGATTCTGCACGCATGCGCAGAATGTGCTATTTGTTGCAGTAGACGGAGCGGGTTTACATAAGAGGGGCGCATGGGATTGTATAGGATTGTGGTTGGTTGACACAGCGGGTCGTAAAGATCCCCATAGCAGGCTCGATCCAGGAGTGCGCCTGGGAGCACGCATGATCAGGAAATAGTATGTTTTGCATCGGATTGTGTGTGGTTTACATAGCAGGTCTTAAAGATCCCCATAGCAGGCTCGATCCAGGAGTGCGCCTGGGAGCACGCATGATCAGGACATATATGTTTTGCATAGGATTGTGGGTGGTTTACATAGCGGGTCGTAAAGATCCCCATAGCAGGCTCGATCCAGGAGTTCGGATTACAATCGGAACGCGTGGAGAGGTAGTATTCAGGGTTTAATAATCATAGGATTAAGAATTTAGGGTCTACTAGGCGTGGCCACGAGTACACCGTGACCGCGAGCCCACCTGCGGTGGCCGTCACTCCCACCCGCACGCCACCCGACCATAAAGGTGATTTCTCCCCTCGTTAGAACCACATGGAATACAGCGTCGACGACGACGACGACGACGGCGACGACTGATGTGCGATCCAGTTGGCACGCGAGTGCTCTCACGGGCGGGAAGAGTCGGGTCGGGCGGAAGAGATTCTGCACGCATGCGCAGCGAAGGCTATTTTGTGGAGTGGGTGGATCGGCGCGCAACGGGAGGCACTTTGTATGGTAAAATACAAGAGATTATGCACGCATGCGCAGGAAGTGCTATTGTTTGCCGTAGACGGAGCGGGTTTACATAAGAGGGGCGCACGTTGTTTTGTAAAAATATGAAATTCTGCACGCATGCGCAGGAAATGCTTTTTTTGCAGTAGATGGAGGGGGGTCGCAACGGGCATTGGGCACTTTGTGCTGTACAAAATCAGAGATTCTGCACGCATGCTCAGGAAATGTTATTTTTGTGCAGTAGATGGAGCAGGGCTGCATGGTGACTGGTTTTATGGTAATTAGGGTTTAATAATTATAGGATTAAGAATTTAGGGTTTAGGGTGTCCTCTGTCAGCGCTTGCTGATAAAAAAATCGTGTAAGACCACCCCCATCCATAAAATGGAGTGGGGGCGGGGTAATCGTGTTGAGGTGATAGCATGTAGAGCAGAATCATGTTTCGGTTACGGGGCCAGCTCCCCCTTTTCGCATTCCCACCCCGCGCCCGTTAGGGCGGCGAACCACCCACGGCTTTCTCTATTCGGGTTTAGGGTTTTGTTGCCGTCGGGTCTTTTTTTATCTAAGGCGTTCGCACTCCTATCAGGGTGGCCTACCTAGGTTCTGTGTCCTCACACGTACACAGATACCCTCTTGGGTCTTAATATATGCGCAATCCTGGGTTCAGGGTTGACGCTTTACGTGGGGGGAAGGAGTTCGGGGTGAAACGCCGCGCGGGCGTTTGATTGTGCGCTCGTGGCGCCGGCTCCGCTCGCTTCGCTCGCTCCGCCGATACCACTCCTTTTGAACTACGAAATCCAGCTGGCGCGCCCAGGAGCGCCCTGGGCCCTGGGCGGCAGCTTATTCACCGTGAAGGGATGCCTTGGAAGGCCTTGGGAGAGCCCTGGAGGGCCCTCAGGAGTGCTCCTGGGTGGCTCCTGGGGGGCTCCTGGGGGGCTCCTGGGGGGCTCCTGGAGAGCTCCTGGGGGGCTTCGGGCGGTGTGCAATTCACCGTGACGCTGGTCTGGGGGGGGCTTTTGGGGAGCTCCCAGGGGGCTCCTGGGGTGCTCCTGGGGAGCCCCCAGGGCGCTCTTGGAAGGGGCTCCTGGCGGGTCTAGGGGGCTCCTGGGCGGTGTCCAATTCACCGTAACGCTGGTCTGGGGGGGTTCCTGGTGGGCTCCTAGGGGGCTCCTGGTGGGCTCCTGGGAAGATCCTGGGGGGCTCCTGGGCGGGAGCTAACTCACCGTGGCGGTGGTCTAGGAGGCTCCTTTTGGGGCTCCTGGGGTGCTCCTGGAGGGCTCCTGTGGTGTTCCTGATTGACTCCTGGTGGGTTCCAGGGGTGCTCCTCCTGGGGGTGCCCAGGGCACTTGGGCGGGAGCTAGTTCACAGTGGCAGGAGTTTGGGGGGCCCAGCAGAGGCTTCCCGCGGGGGCTCGAATCTTCAGGAAACGGATTTGGGCCTTCTGGTGACCCCAGGACCCCTGGGCGGGAGCAATTTCACCGCGGCGGGGGTCGTGGGGTGCCCAGCAGTGGCTTCCCGCGGGGGCCCGAGCCTGGAAGGCTTTGGGAGAGCCCTGGAGGGCCCTCAGGGGGCAGCTGGGGTGCGCTTGGAGGACTCCTGGGGGTGCTCCTGGTGAACTCCGGGGAGGGGCCTGGTGAGGCTCCTGGTGGGTTCCCGGGGTGCTCCTGGGGTGCTCCTGGAGGGCTCCTGGGGTGCTCTTGGGGTGCTCACGGGAGCTACTCCTGGGGTGCCTTGGAAGGCCTTGGGAGAAACCTGGATGGCCCTCAGGAGGGCTTCCGGTGCGCTCCTGAGGGCTCCTGGGGAGCTCCTGGGGGCTCCTGGGGCGCGCTCCTGTGTGCTCCCAGGCGCTCCCACGCGCTCCCACGCGCTCCCACGCGCTCCCACGCGCTCCCAGGCGCTTCCAGGCGCTGCCATCCGCCCCCAAGCGCTCCCAAGCGCTCCCAGGCGCTCCCAAACGCTCATAGGCGCTCCCAGGCGCTCCCAAGCGCTCCCAGGCGCTCCCAGGCGCTCCCAGGCCCCCGGGCGCCCCCAGGCGTTCCCCAGGCGCCCCCCAGGCGCCCCCCAGGCGCTCCCCATGCGCTCCCCAGGCGCTGCCAGGCGCTCCCAGGCGCTCCGCTCCCAGGCGTTCCCAGGCGCTCCCAGGCGCTCCCAGGCGCTCCCAAGCGCTCCCAGGCGCTTCCAAGCGCTCCCAGGCGCTCTCGGTTGTCCCAGGCGCTCCCAAGCGCCCCCAAGCGCTCCCAGGAGCCGCTCCCAGGCGCTCCCAAGCGCTGCCAAGCGCCCCCAGGCGCTCCCAAGCGTTCCCAGGAGGCGCTCCCTGGCTCTCCCAGCCCCCCCAGGCGCTCCCACGCGCCCCCAGGCGCTCCCAGGCGCTGCCAAGCGCTCCCAGGCGCTCCCAGGTGCTCCCAGGCGCTCCCAGGCGAGGGCTGGGGGGGCCCAGACACGCATCTCCCAGCCGGAGCGCTCAAGCCTAAACCATCTGGGAGCTGGGGCTCCCCGCGGGGGCCCGATTCGCCACGGAACGTCTTTTGCCCATCAGAAAAGCCGTGGGCCCTTGGGCGGTGGGCCCCAGAACGCTCTGGGGCCCCCCAGGCGGGTTTCCGCGGGGGCCCGTGTCGCCAGGAAACGTGTTTTTCCAGCCGGAGCGCTCAACCCTGAACCCTCTGGGGCTCCCAGGAGCTCCCCGCGGGGGCCCGCTTCGCCAGGAAACGTGTTTTGCCCAACAGGGAAACCTTGGGCCCCTGGGCGGTGGGCTCCAGGACGCTTTGGGAGCTCCCAGGGGGTTCCCGCGGGGGCCCCTGTCGCCAGGAAGCGTTTTTTGCTAGCCAGAGCGGTCAGCCCTAAACCCTCTCGGAGGTCCCAGGGGTTCCCCGCGGGGGCCCGCTTTGCCAGGAAACGTCTTTTGCCAGCCAGCCGATCGGGGGGTCCACCCTGAAAAAGTTTAAGATACGAGGTCGAAAAACAAGTGCTAGTGGTGACTCGTGCTCGTTTACCGTTGTTTTTATGTTGGCTCATGCTGATGCAAAAAAACAATGTTTGATCACTTTTTCACGACTTCCGCTTTATAAAGGCAGTTTTGCATTTCTCGTTTTTTAGCTCAATCAGGGTTTAGGGTTGATGTTTTGGGATTATAAGTGTTTCAGGAGACGCCCAAGCGGGCGTGGTTATCCTGTCGGCATAGCCCGTCATTGATAATGGATAAGGTCCGAGTGGGCCCCTGCATGACGGCAATACTTGTGACACCTCGGGCGGCGCCCGTGAGATCCTGCCGTCCGAGAGGTGGTATAACTGCTAGGTGCCAGTAAAGGGAGCTTGCCGCCCAATAAAGTGGGTGGGTACGGCCGAAGCGGGCCTGGGTGAGAGTTTAGGGTTTAGGGTTTAGGGTCGGGTCCCGGGGAAAGGGTCCAGACTGCCGGGGGTCGACGTTGTGCAAAAATCACGACGTCGGGGGTCTGGGTTTAAGGTTTAGGGTCCACTGGCTCAACCCGAAGCCTCTTGGATGTGTCCCACCCGTGCCCGGCCTCTTCTCGGAGGGGGGTCCAGCCGAGCCAGCGGTGGCTCTCCCCGGCAGGATCGGGAGGCTTAGGGCCTAGGGTCCACTGGCCCAAGCTTGGGGCCTGTTGGACGTGTCCCACCCACCCATGACCGAAGACTGATTGATCTCCAAACGACGACGACGATACCGATGACGAAGACGACGATATTGATCTCAAAACGACGACGACGACGACGACGACGACGACGACGACGACGACGACGACAGTCGCGCAAAGTCTTTTGGGAAGCCGCTGCAGCGGCGATGCGGCGGGGAGCGCCCGGGGAGCGCCCGGGAAGCGCCGGCCGAGGCGGCAGGCAGGGCGGCCGCCCAGCGGGCGACGGGGCAGCGGCAGCGGCGGGGCAAGGCAGCGGCAGGGCGGCGGGGCAAGGCAGCAGGCAGGGCGACGGGGCAGCGGCAGCGGCGGGCGGCGGGCAGACGGGCGCAGCGCGGCGGGAGCGAGGCGGGGCGCGGACGCCCGCGGCCCGAGGGGCGGCGGGGCGGCCGAGCCGGGCTTGAAGTCGGGTCTGTCCCCGTACAGAGGGGGATTTTCGACGAAGAACAGAGGATGCCCCAAAAAGTACCCAAGAATAGTCCAAAAATAGTCTGGGGACCATGTTTTAAATATTGTTTGATCCTTTTTGGGTATTTTTGATGTATTTTTTCATTTTTCGTCGAAAATCCCTCTGTATGGGGGACACGCCCGACTTAAAGCCAGGCGGGAGGGGTGCGCCCTGCGTTTTGCGAAAGCTCTCGGAGCACCATTCCCGGCACTCCGAGGGCAAGGATCTGCGTGAGGGATGTGCCCAAATGGGAAGGCGCAGAAAGGGGGCGATGGAAGGGCGGCATAAGGCATCTTAGGATGTAAATATTTACAGGCTCTTAGTTCTTAGGGGGGGGCACCCACCGATCGCTGAATGTGGGTATGCTTGGATCTCCCGATGCCAACTTGTTCTGGGCGCCTTCTGCATCAGTCATCGGGTGATTTTCCTCTCTCCGTCCTTCTCACGGGTGGCGGGCGGAAAGGCAATCTGTGTTCGACGCTTTGAAGACTGACAGCAGCTGTTCCTGCTCACTTTAACATGGCTCGCTGTCGGTGCCGCCGCGGGCGTTGTCCATTTGAGACAGAAGGCCGCCTGCCAAACAGCGGGCAATGGTGGTTTGGGGCAACATCTGTTTTTGGGCATCCTGCCCATTTTTCCCGTGCTCATGTAGGGTCAAATATCCCGCCTGGCCCAAATTCCCAGACATCCACGGCATTGAAAAATCAAGACGGAGGTTTTTCGTCGTGTTCGGCCTTTGGGGGCCCTCGCTGGGCCCCGAGACCAAGAGGAAAACCACTTAGGCCGAACCACCGTCCCTGCGGAACGGCCCGGGACTTCCAGGGACCCCGCATTGTGGAAATCAAGACATCGGATGTCTGGGTCCGCTCAAAGTCGGGCCCTGAAACCCCTCCCCGGGTCCATCCCGACGTGGCGACGAGGAGCTCCCAGGCCGGCCAGAGGCGGCGAGAGGCTTCCAGGCGGCCCCCAGAGGGGGCGAAGAGCGCCGCCGCCGTCTCGGCCGAGCCCACCTCCGGACCTCGTGACCTGGAAGTGGCGGGCGAGGAAGCTCCGCGGGTGCGTGGGCACGCTGAGGCCCGTGGCACTCGGCAGTGGCCTGGCGGACTTCGCGCTGCGCAGCGCGCTGGCGGACCGGCGGTTCTCCCCGGTGGAGCTGGGCGAGGTCCCTCTGCTGTCCTGCCGGCTCTCCCTGCTGCACAGCTTCGAGGACTGCGAGGACCCGGGCCTCCCGAACGGCGTCCGCTCCAGGATGGGCCTCGCCATGTTCCTCTCCCTCCTCCTCCTCTTTCTCCTCCTCCTCCTCCTCCTCCTCCTCCTCCTCCTCCTCCTCCTTCTCGAGCGGTGGTTTTTTGGCCATTTGGGGCCCCTGGGGCCCTCCCTCGCCTGGCCTCAGGACCGTCAAAAAACAGCTGAGGACCAAGAACCTGTCCTGGGGAAGTGGTCCAGACCTTTTTGGGCCCCACGCACCGGAAAAATTGGAGCGGGCGGAGCAGGAGGAGGAAGAGGGTGAGGCGTCTCTTTCGAAGAGGTGGGGAAGTGGTCCAGACCTTTGGGCCCCACGCATCGGAAAAACTGGAGCGGTCGGAGTAGGAAGAGGAAGAGGGTGAGGCGTCTCTTTCGACGAGGGAAGAGGAAGATGACGAGGCCCCTCCTTCGGAGAGGGGAATCCCCCCTCCTGCCTCAGCGGAGTTGCAACATGTGTACGGTCAGGAGCCTTTGCTTAGCACGTCGCAAGCGGCTCCGACGACACGCTATGCCCTGCAAGCGGATGGCGTGTCGCTCCGTTTCGCAGGGCGGGAGGCTGGGAAAAGCTCGGCACATGGATGCCCGGATGCCTGGGGAGCGCCAAGTGGACAGCGTGTCGCGCCGAGGCGTGGTGGGCCAGAATCGGCGGAGCGACACGCGAACCAAAAGTTCCCGACCGTAACTCAGGGGCCAGGGAAGCGGAGACGGGTTAAGAGCAGACGGGGTAACAGGAAATGGCCGGTTCCAGGCAACAAACGCGCATTTTTGTTGCAGTGCAGTTCTTTCGGCTTTCGCGTTGAATGCAGCATTTGCCACATGTTGTTTGCGTTGAAAAGTTGCGGCTGCTGCACCGAAACTGTTTGTTTTGGGCCTCTGCTACCCGGTCGATGGGCCTTGTTTGCAGTTGTTCCGCAACGAGTTGACAAAAATGCAGTACATTTTTTTGCGCTGCAGAAAAACAGCCTTGCAGTTTTTTGCTCTGGCCGTTGCAGAATCACCGATTGGATCCTAAGGTGGGTCTGTTACCCCGTTTAGTGTTACCCGGCTTAGTTTTCCTCGACGTTCACGAAAGGCTTGCACCTAGGGCTATTCACTCGATGTTTGCCCCCCCGATTGTGTAGTTATTGTCACGCTGTCCGCTCCCATCTTGAAGATGAGAGCGAACAGCATGTCAGGAACAAGGCCATTCTTTTTCTGAATATCCGAAACACGAGGTCCTTCTTGTTTTGTTTGCGGGAGAAGTTCTCCCTCAAAGCAAATGGGAAGGGCCTCGTCCTGCGGCTCGCGTCGCCGCCGGCGGAGGCTGGCGGAGGTAACGCGGCGGCGGGTCCGGGTCCGCCAGCGGATGGTCGGCGGAACCTAGTGGATAAAGAGGGAAATGTCCATGTTTTGTTGCTCGTATTAGAATCGCTCTACGACGTCATGGTGCACACCTGGCACTCGCGAGAAGGGCTTCATGTTTTGTTGGTCGCGGCTCCTTTTTTTCCGCCCGCTCCAATTCGCCTCCTCTAGTGCCCAACTCGCTTCCGGATTGTTCCTCCTGTCGCTCGACAGGCGTCTGATTTTTCTTGCGCCCGCTGGCCAAAAGTTTGTTGACCTCGGGGTTTTCGAAGTATACAGAACGAGGCCAGACTAGATGGGGCCTGTCGGACGGTCGCGCCGCATCGTGAATACATCGGCGATGCGGCACGACCTGAAGCCCGTTCTTATCCATCCCGCCGTCGACGGCGCATGTGCCCGCAGCGACCCTTTCGCCTCGCTCCAAGACGTGGGCAGGCTACCAGAGGGAAGCTTCGACGGCGAGGGGCTCGCCACGAGAGGGGTCGGTCGGGCCGCGCACGAGAGGACGCGCACGACTGGGAGATCGGCAGGCACGGCGTGCGGGTCCACTTCGACGCGGCGTCCAGCTGGCTGTGTCCTTGCGACACGAGGACGTATTCGGCGACCTTCCTGCCCGAGGTCGTGGTCGACCACGGCATGGACCACGACGAGGCCCTCGCCCGGCTCGCGAAGAAGGCGGGCTACAAGGGCAGCTGCGATGACGATCTGTTCGACTGCATGGAGGCCGTTCGCTTCCAGTCCAGCGTGCGTGAGCTGGGGTCTTCGGGGGCGGCCACGGGGGGGGACGATGACCCGATGACGAAGTGGCCGCGTGGATATCATGGCCGGTGCTATGATGTTCCCCCAGGTATTTCACGGCCCTTTCTTCTCATTGCAACACGTTCGTTGGCGCCCCCCCCTTCGGCCGCGCACGTGCCTCAGGCAACGATTTACAAACGACCCTCTCAGCCGTTCGCGAGGTACGAGGAGTCCGCGCGCGGGCGTGGCGGCGCGGGCTGAGCGGCCCCACTTCGGGCCTCCGTGCACCTGGTCGGCTTCGGCTGGCCTGCGTTTGAGTGCGGTCGCGTGTGCACGCGGGACCGCGGAGGGCGCACATGGACACATGCCATTGTTCGCTCATCTTGGACGCCCCCGAGGTACGAGGAGTTCGCGCGCAGGCGCAGCGGCGCGAGCTGAACGGCCCGTCTTCGGGCCTCCCCGCGCAGTTGCCTGCCCCGCAGCGCCGGCTCAGACCGCCGGCGGGCACGCCTCAGGCGTCCCCAGCGCCAGCTCAGGCCGCCCTCTCTTCGAGTACGGGATCGTCTACAGAATTGATTCCTCTCGCTTCGCGGGGTGCACGTCCGGAGCACGTAAAGTCACGTCATCGCAGAGCCTCTTGGGAGCCTCCTGGGGGCCTCCCGGAGGCCTCCTGGGAGCTTCCTTGGGCCTCTTGGGGACTTCTTTGGGGTCTCTATCCCCTCCCTCCTTTTCATACTCCCTTTCCATATTTCCTTCCAGCGCCGGCTCTAATCATGGGCGCCGCTGCGACCAACTTCCACCTGGCTGGCGCTGCGCCGCAGTTCGCCCAAGTTGGAAAAATGGCATTACACTCCAGTCGCTGTGTGGCCTTCGGGGGGCTTCTTTGAAGCCTTTGGGAGGCTTCTTGAAGACCTCTTGGAGGCCTCTTGGCGGCTTTTTGGGGCCCCTTGCGGGCCTCTTGGGGGCCTTTTGAGGCCTCTTATGGGCGTCTTTGGCAGTATTGGGGCGCTGTTGCGCCGTTTCGCCTCTTCGGTCGCGGCCGCCTTGGGGCCGTCTTGGGGTCTTGGGCTGTGATTGGGGCCTCTTGGACCGTCGTGGGGGCCTCTTTGGGCCGTCTTGAGGTTCTTTTGGGCCGTAGTGGGGCCCTCTCGGGGGCTTCTTGGGTTGTTATGGAGCGATTTAGGAAGCTGCTTGGGCCGCCAAGGCGAGAACGCTAAAAGATTACCAAACCATAGGGAAATCAATGATTTTGGCTTCTGGAAGCGCAATTGTGGGCGCTCTTGGGGCCCTCTTGGGCTGTCATTGGGTTTTTGGGGGCCCTTTTGGGACCATCTTGGACCGTCTCGGGGCCGTCTTGGCCCGCACAGAGCCCACCTTGAGCCGTCTTGGCTCCCTCTTGGCCCCCCAAGAGGCCCAAGAGGTCGAAATCATAGATTTTCTAGTGGTTTTGGTAGGTTCTTCAGCCCCAAGAGGGGGGGGCCACTTTGGTCCGCTCCTGCGGCGCAGCTCCCAGGGGGGGTTAGGGGGGGAGACATAATAATGTAACACAATACTATATGTGGAAATTATGCAAACATTGGACACATTCGATCCACTGCATTACAGCATCCGCGGAAAACGCTGCCGCTCAGCACGTCACTTCCGGACGTGGATTCATTCATTGGCTCACGCCACAGCGCCGACCCCTTTGGGCGACAGCAATCGTCCCCCGCGTGGCCTGTCCGGACAGCCTGTGAGGCCCATCTAGACACGTTTTGGAGCCCTCTTAGGACCGTCCTGCCGTTCCCCCGGGCCGTTGCTATGGCTTCTGGGACGGTTTTTGCTTGTGGAGGCCTTCTTGGGGCGCCTCGTGGTCGCGTACACAAGCGTCTTGGACGCCCATGGGGCTGTCTGGAGGCAATCGTGGGCGGTTTGGACCGAATCGTCACCCGCGTGGGCCGTTTGGACAGCCTTGGGGAGCCCTCTTGGCACGCTTTGGAGCCCTCAGGGGACCGTCCTGCGGCTTTTCTATGCCGTTGCTATGGTTTCTGGAGCCTTCGTGGATCGCCTGGAGGCCGTCTTGGAGCCTTTTTGGGAGCGTCTTCGGTTTTTGCTTGTGGAGGCCTTCTTGGAGCGCTTCGTGGTTGCTTTTTCAAGCGTCTTGGACACCCATGGGGCCGTCTGGCGGCGATCTTGGGCGGGTTTGACCGAATCGTCCCCCGCGCGGGCCGACCGGACAGCCTTTTGGGGCCTCTTACGTCCGTCTTGCGGCTTTCCAAAGTCGTTGCTATGGTTTCTGGGGCCTTCGTGGCTCGCCCGGACGCCGTCTTGGAGCCTTTTTGGGAGCCTCTTGGGCTGGCGAGGGTCGATACTGGAGGCTTCTTAGGCCGTTTTGCGCCGCGTGGAAGCCGAATGGGCGAATGTAGTGAAAATGTACGCTTCCCCGCGGGAGTGGGACGATTTTTGCTTCTGGAGGGCCTCTTTGGGGCGCCTCGTAATATTGTTTCAAGCGTCTTCGGGACTTTTGGAGCCGTGTGGAGACAATCTTCAGCGTTTTGGGGCGATTTCTCGTCGATTCGTAGCTCTGTTGGACCGCTCCGGGAACCTTTGGAACCTTGTTTGGCCCGTTTTGGGGCCTGCTGAGGCTCCAAGTATGCGGATGATGGGTTTGCCCCCCCCCCCCCCCCCCCCCCCCTCCGCTCCAAACCGGCCGGACCAGGCCCCTGGGGGAGGGGGTTGGGGAGGGGGCAGCATCTCACACGCCGTGACCCCAAGGGGTCGGCGGATTTACCCCAAAATTATTTTTTTCGCCGAGTCATAAGTATAATGTTCGTAGATCTATCTATCAAGATTCTACGCATGTTTCATGGATTCGACTAGGAAATCAATTTTAGGGTAAATCAATTATGTAGTCGATCCACCACTCGATTTCTGGAACGGTTGAGATTGTGGCGCACGCCTTCGGACTGTCGGACGAAGCCGGAAAAGTGTGGTCGACGCTGTCTCGACGCACCGTTGCCGCGCGAAGCCACCAGAAAAAATTGGCAGAGCTTCGCCGCCGAGGGCCCGGAGTGGCGGGGGGGCACATCGCGAACTGCACTTGATTCGGTCGCGGCGCGGCAGAGGCAATCCGCTCCCGTGAATGGCAACATTGGGTTGTGGAGTCGCAAATTGGCCGGCACGCAAAAGGAAAAGGAGGAGGGGAGAGAGCGGCCGCAGAGACAGGAAGGAGCGCGGGGGCATTTCCACGCAGAAATGCTACGGGGAGGGCGCGGGGACGGCCAGGCTGAAGGGCTGCCCCTGGCAGCAATCGCGGGGCGGCATCACGATGCACCCAGGGGAGGGGCCAGCAGCCGCAGCGCGTGCGGAGCCCAGCAAGTGGTGGGTGGGAGCAGCAGGCGGCCGGCAGAGCAGAGCGCCAGGTATAGCGAACTGTACAGCCAAAACGTTGAAATACGGCTTGGGATTCAGGAAGGGTTCTGATTTGCGGGCCGTTGCTTTGATCCTCTCGCATCGCGGGGTGCACGCCTGGAGCACGTAAAGACTAAATGTTGGGTGGCTTGCCTTCTGCCCGTCACGGGGGGCGGATGCCCCCCCCTCCCGTTCCAGTGCCGGGACGAGCGTTCGAATGCCCACGAAGGCAATGCGAATTCACCGAGCATCAGCACAAGGCAACGCTAAGTTCAAATTCAGATGAGCATAGCAACAAAGCGCCATTCGTATATGATTCCGCGCGCCTCTTGGTGATTTGGGGCAGTTTGGGAGGCTTTTTGGGGACCTATTGGAGGCTTCTTGGGTGGCCCTGGGGGCCTCTTGGGGCCTCTTTGGGCCATCTTGGGGACTCGGGGGCGTATCTTGGGCCGTCTTGGGGGCGCCACTGCGCCGTCTAGCCCCTTGGGAGCCCGTCTTGATGAGGGCGTCTCGGGGTAGCCTTGTGGCTCTCTTCGGGTTGTCTTGGGCCGTCATAAGGGGGCCTCTTGGGCGGTCTTGGGGGCCTCTTTGAGCCATCTTGGGGCCCGCTTGGGCTGTCTTGGGGCCCTCTCGCGGGCCTCTGGGGCCGTCTTGGGGTCATCTTGTTGCTGCTTGAGCGGGCGAAAACGGGAAGCTATGGTCAGTATACAAAGCAACATGCACGTTTGCCTTTGGAGGTGCTCTTGGTAGCCCCTTGGAGCCCTCTGGGGCCGCCTTGGGTCCCCCTTGGGGCCCTCTGGGGCCGTCTTGGGACGTTTGAAGGCCAGGCTGAGCTATATGGATACCTGCTGAATCCCCCGGAGGCCCTAGAGGCCAAACATGCTATCGCACTGCAGGTTTTGGTAGGTTTTTGAGACCCAGAACTTAGGACCGCCATCTTGGCCGACGGATGTGTCGTGACTCTGGTGCGGGGGCAAGGTGGATTTATATGATCGAAGACGCCTACGGCGAATCACCGCCGCCCCCTGTCTTTTGGAATCGCCCATGTGGCCTGGCGTTGTGGCAAGAGCTCAGCCAAGCTATCGGACCATGTGTTCCCCTAGCCGTTGTCGGAAAAATGATGGGTCATCTTGGGAGGCTCTGGGGGCACTTTTGAAGCCTCCTGGGAGCTTCTCGGGAGCTTGAGGAATCTTGGGGGCCTCCTTGGGCCTCTTGGGGGCAGTTGGGTTTTTTTCGGGAGCCACCTTGGCCGTCTTAGGGCATTCATGGCCCGTTTGACGCCGTCGGAAGCCGTCTATGGGGCCTCTGTGGGCTGAATAGGGGCCCTCTTGGGGTGCTCCAGGGTCGTACATGTACATCTATACTGCGCCGATCCGAAAGTTTCCACAATTTCGCCACCGTGCTCGCCAGGGCCATCTGGGATGGCGCGCGCAGGATGAGAGCCGCGGGGTCCGAGGGCGGACGGGGGCGATGTCGCGAGGGCAGAGTCGGCGCGCCGATGGGCAGCCCGACACCCCGTTTGGCCGGAGGGGCCCAGCACAATGCAAGGGCAGAGCGCAACCCCTGCCCGGGGTCACGGGATCGGGCCCCCCTTAAGAATTTAACAGTTTAAATCCCAAGCGGTGTACTGACCCGAAAATGAGCAAACGGCACAAGACGTCCTCGGAAAAAAAAGCTTTCGGGCTCGGTGGTCGGTCATATGCGAATCGACCCGATATATATATATATATATTTATATAAAATATATATAATATATATATATATATATAATATATAATCATATAATTAACTATGAAATAATACAAATAAAATATCATATAAATATAATATCGACAATAATAATATAAAATAAAATATAATATACAACAACTACCACTACAACACAATGTAATATAATTCATACTATAAAATAATATGAGATATGGCATATGATATATGATATATACTAGTAGTATATATTATTATAATAAATATATAATATTTAATATATAATACGTAATATATAATTAATAATAATATAGTAATATAATATAAATATTTTTATTTTTTTTAAAAAAAAATTAGTAAATAATAATAATAATAAAAAAAAAAACAAAAAAAAAAAAAAAAAAAAAAAAAAAAAAAAAAAAAAAAAAAAACAAAAAAAAAAAAAAAAAAAAAAAAAAAAAAAAAAAAAAAAAAAAACGAGCTCGAGGTCTTCGGGCCCACTCGGAAGAAACCGAACATGGGCAAACCGCCCAAAACATCCGATGGCAAACGGTTTCTCGGCGGTTCGGGTTCTCGTCCGAAGGAGCCACCGATGGGCCGACCGTGCAGGACTTCCTGCACAAGAAACGGCTTCCCGGGTGAGCCACTCTCAAACGGGAGCGCGCCCCCGCGCGGGATCGGGGCTCGCACGGGGGCGCGGCTGCTCGCGCTTGTCCAGGACGCACGCGTCCCCGCGCCCTTCCAGCATAGCGTTTGCTCTGCATTCGCGCAGCGCCGTTTTTTCAAATCGGAATAAATGTTCGGAGTGCCGATGTATATGTATATATCATATACACCAACATGCATACACACATGCATGCATGCATGCATGCATACATACATTCATACCCTACCTATCTACAGACCTACCTACCTATAAACACATGCATACGTACATTCCACATACACACATGCATGCATCCATCCATCCGTCCATCCATGCATGCGGGCGGGCGTGCATGCATGCATGCATATATACCTACGTACGTACGTGCATACACACATACATGTCGGCGGTGCTACGTGGCACGAACCCCCCCAGTACTACCGGGGGGGTTCGTGCAGGGCGCACCCGGTGCCGCCGACGGAACACCCCCCCTCTCTGTACACATGCATGTATACATACATACATCCATCCTGGCCCGTCTGACGCCGTCGGAAGCCGTCTTGGGGGCCTCTCTGGGCTGACTCGGGGTCCTCTTGGGGTGCTCCAGGGTCGCACATGCACATTTATTTATGGATGTACATATATATACACACACCAACATGCATACCCACATGCATACATACATGCATGCATGCATACATACATACACACAAACATGCATACACATGTGCACACCCGCATACGTACAGACATGTATGCATACAGACATGCATGCATGCATACACCCACACCCTACATACATACATACATACAGACACGCATACATACATGCATGCATATATACATGCACACCTGCTCACATATGCGCATACACACATACATACATACATACATACATACATACATACATACATACATACATACATACACACATACACACATACACGCATACATACATACATACATATATGCAGACGGACAGACAGACAGACAGACAGGCAGACATACAAACATACATGTATACATACATATCAGAGAATGGATGGATTATGTTTGTGTTTTGGTTTCGGTTTTCTGCTACGTATGTTGCCAACGGGACCAGGCGGACAGCGACGACGACGACGACGACGACGACGAGGGCGACGAGGACGAGGGGGAGGAGGAAGAAAACGACGACGAGGGGGCGGAGGGCGGCGGCGCCACGCTCATCCCCTGGATTAACCCCGATGGAGCTCGAGCAGCTGCAGCCGAAGCAGCTCCCGCTATTCGCTCATGAAGAACTCGTTCCTGGTCGCGTCCAGCTGGTGGCCGTCACGCACGCCGTCGCGCATGCCACCTCTGTCCTTATGAATGCGCACAATCACGAGATCGCCGACGCCGACCGCCGCAAGGTCCAGCAGGCCTGGGAGCTGCACTGCACATGGGCGGAAGCTAACTACCGCATGCGCACCTTCATCGCGATCGGGGACTTCAACGTAGCCAGCCGCTCGCCGCAGAGCGCCCCGCAGCCGCAGCCGCAGCACGCCAGGCTTGCGTTGGACAACAGCATGCGCCAGCAGTAGCCCTTCTGGAAGTCCCTCTTCGACTCCATGCTTGAGGTCGAGACCGAGCTCCCCTCGCGCTTCAACCGCTCGGACTTCACCGCCGCGACCACCGACCGCATCTTCATCAACCTGCCGTCGCACGCCACCCAGGAGCTCTCGATCCACGCGAACGCGGCGCACGACGCCGCGTTGCTCCCGGACAATCGCCTGAGCGACCTCGCGCCATCTACTTCCAGAAACTCCTGGACGCCACCAACTTCAACTGCGTCTCGCTGGACAGCCGCTGGCGCGCCCACGAGCGCCTCCTGACGGAGGCCGCCCAGCTGGTTCGCGACGATTCGGTCCGCCGGGCTACCGGCGATGCCAACAAGACAGGCCCCCTGCCTGGCAGGGTCTACACGATGCGCCCCATCTCGCGAGCCGTTCGGCGCCGAGACCTTCAACTGGCCCGCAGAGTTGCCTCCGCGACCGAGCTCGGCGCCAAGTTCGTCAACATCTCCGACGGCGTCATCGCGATCAACGAGCTTGCCGTCTTCGCCAGCCTCGCTTCGCAGCTGAACCGCGACTTCGAGGCGCGGCAACTCTCTCGCGCAGCAAGCCGCACAGCGCCCTGGCCCTTGAGAAACTCCGCAAGGCCCTTCGGACCGCCCAGCGTCGGGCCCCCCTCTGGCCCCCCTGGAAGCGCCGTCTCGCCCAACAGGGGATCAAGGTCATGACGGGCCCAGGA